TACAAAACTGCCATCTCGGATTTTCGAACTTTTGGGATTTTGACCCCCAAAAATTAAAAAAAAAATGATTTTTAGAAAAACTCAAAAAAATTCCAAAATTTTTTCGAATTTCGAAAAAACCGGAATATATGTGATAGTCCCTGCGCTCTTCGATATACATACCAAATTTTAGATCGATACCTCTTTTTTTGGCCAAGTTATAGCGAAAAAAAAACTGTTAAAAATTGATGACGTCAAATTTTTGAACTCAATTTTCAGCAATTCTAGACCCCGTAGCGCAAAACGAAGACCACCATTGAACTCCCCGTGACGAGCTGCATCGAATCGATACCAATTTAATGCAAAAATATCAACTTTGAAATTTGACCTAATTTGACCTGACCTTGACCTGACCTTGACCTGACCTTGACCTGACCTTGACCTGACCTTGACCAAAACGTGACCTAAGCTGGCCCAAAAGTCTGCCTGACCCACATAATCGCATTTGTCATGTAAAATGGACCATAAAACATGTATCACACGACACTTTCATATTATGACCCCCCCAGTGACCTGACCTCTGTGACCTGACCTGGTATCAGTGACCTCAAATAGAAAAATATGTGTTTGAAGAACATTTCCCCATCGATGATTTTCAATGAAATGCATTTTACTGGATTTTACAGCGCATTTCTTGAAATGCCTGTAAATGGTGAAAATTCGACCTTTGACCTGACCTGTGACGTCATCGGTTTGACCGAGGTCAATCAAATTGGGTCACAAGGTAGTTCCCCGTTGGGGCTATCCAACGCCGTTTACCGCTTGTCGCTATGTTGCGTGGTTCTCGAGATCTTAGGGGGGGGGGCAAAATGCCCCCCCCCCCCCATCAGGGCGCGGGTTAACCCGCGCCCTGTTGCTTGCGTCCTGTTGAGTTGCTCTACCGTTGTGAGAATAGCTTTACAGCTAGCGAACTAGCTTGTAGCTTGCGTCTGTTACCACAGCTTGTACTTATGTGTAGAGTAGCTGCTCAACATGAGCTCAAGCGCCTAATTTAGTGAACCTTGTATCGTGAAGTTCGATCTATAATAAATATACCCGACGTCTCCGTTTGGTGCAGTCTCACTTGGTGATTGGATTGGCCGTCGGCTGTTTCAGTGGTCTGCGAGGCATGTTTAACAGTCTGGGCGCGCTGGCTTCCGTTAACCACTACCACCTGCATCTGTACCGACTGCCTCGGACTCTCTACGTCGAAACGGCCGTGCGTATCAGTGTATAGCGTCGCGATATGAACTATAAATTGGGAATGGTGTGAATAAACGTCGTCCGTAGTGCTCGTGAGCTTATCTCTTTCCCAACAGTTTTCGATCGGAACATTTCCGCAGACTCGTTTCGTTTTGCCTTATTTTCTACAGGGCGTAGAGCCGAAAGATATGAATCGACGATATTCTACATATTTTACGTTTACATGGTGTTTTTATGACTACAGGAATTTGTTTTTGTTTGCAGGACGTACGAAAAGTGGTCGATGAAATCTACGAGTTCACGGACTACCCGGCCCGAGCCTTTGTGTTCGAGGTCAGCCCGACTAATTTGAACTCGATCGCTAGGTGTGTGACCATGCGATTTTTACCGACCAATGCCTTTTATGTTATGATGAATGTTTTGACGATGTTTCTGTGTAACTGGGTTTATTGTGTTTTCAACAGATTCGGTGCGATGACGCTAAGTTTCATATGTCTTCCTTTCCAGTCGCGTCGTGTCGCTGACGGAACTCATTCTGGACCGGGGTCTGGCGTTTAACCTGGTGGCGACCCGCGGACACCCGTGTTCGAGCCGACCGACCCGACCTGACCTGTACACCGCCCTCAGGGTGATGGTGTGGCCCCGACAGCCCGAGTTCCGTGAGTGATTAGTGCAGCCAATTCCGCGGTGTTATTAAGGGCGAACTGTCCGTTTGTTTCCATTTTGTCCATTTTTCGCGTCGTTTCATTTTTTTTCGATGATATATTGTTCCTACTGCCTAGCCAAGTTATAGCAATGTTTTCGGTTTAATATTGTTCGTTCGTCGTGTATGGAACGTATTCTCAGCTTGTGTATGATGCATATATGTCCCGTTTATAACTGAATGTCAATGTTGTTTTAGCTCAACTGCCCCGGGAACATTTCCAGCTGGCCTCCTGCGAAATGATGGGACACATCGCAGTTACTTGTAAGTTCTGTTCTCCATCACACAGTCTTGCCCCTAAGTGCTCTTACGTGACTTTACCTACATTTTTACCGTGAACTTTATAAGCGCGCCCGCCCGTCGCTTTATAGTTCCGTCCGTTTTCATCTTCCCTACTATTCTATCAATCTCTACATATCTATTTATGTAGCTCCGCGCTCTCCCACACAACTGACCGCTCCCCTTCCCCCCGGCAGCGGCCGAGGCGCTGGACGTCCTCACCGAGAGCTCCATCGTGGAGAGTCTCCGGTCTGTCACTGAGGCGGCCTTTGACCAGGTTCGGTCGCTGGTGGTCGCGGAGGCCCTGCCCAAAACCAGTGGGGAGTCGACCGACAGCTGAGTGGAAACCGGGGGTTAATGGTAGGGTGATTGGCGAGTCTATTTGAAGTTAAATAATAGGAGTTTTACTTTTGTTTTTACTGGTTTTTTATGTGCGCCCGAATCGTCATTTTATGTATTCTTACCTCCTATTGCACCCAGCGATGCAAACGTTAAGACATGAGGTGACTGGCTCGATTACTATTACAGGAAGGGTGGTGGGGTAGAGATATTACGGGCCAGGGCTAACCATGCCGTCCGCATGTTGAAGCTCAAGGACAGATCAGTATTCGGTGCGGGGTTGTTTTCCACTCTCAGGGATGAGGTAGCAGCTGAGTTAGGTCCAGTGGAAGCTAGTATCGCCTTGTGTCACATACGTGAATTATTATAAGACACATACTCGTATGCGGATTATGTTTTCGGTTTTATGGGTGATGTGATATCATTGCATCTGCTTTTAGCTCTAAGATGGACAATGTTTTCTTTATTTGTTCGGCCCAGTTTCATATTACGCCATAAGTGCCTAGCTTGGTTGTGAAACTTGACCCTCTTGTGTATAAATTGTTTTTGGAATTGTCTATTTTACCTGCATATCGTATTTATTTGTTAATTTATTGGTTAATTCATGACGATTTCCTTATAGTCACTAGTGGCAACGTCGATGAAAAGAACCCGTAAATACACTTATGAGGATTATCGCTATCCTTTTCGGTTAAAAGTGATAGAATTATCAAGGATTCAGCTGGTCGTCTGAGTCGTCATTGCACCCATTGCTTTGTCCACAAGCTGTTTGCATAGAAAAGGTAAGCAGCGTGCAGGCCATTCCGAGCGGTGCGGTGGGACGATGACGATGGCGGAGCTTGTCATGCATTAGAGTTGCATAAAAGAATAATCGGAAAATTTGATGGCTTTGTGACACTTCGCCAAATATCCAGATTCCAGAACATGCTTTCTTCGTTCCATATGGTAGGGGAGACCCGGGAGGTATGGCCCCCGGGAGGTATGGGCCATCGCAGTTTTGAAGAAGTATTGCGTATTTTTACACATTTGACCACGTAAACTGGTAGCAGCCATTCCGTTATGCATCCGTGATTTTCAAAACCTTCCTCAGTCTTCTTTGGCAATGAGCGGTGATAAAGCGCTTTTGCCCTCTTCGAGTAAAATATGGTGCATACAGAACATTCGTGATAAATTTGAACCAGGCTCGTTTTATGATATTAGACCATCGCTAACATAAAGTTTAAAGCATGCAAATTAAGACTGGGTAGATAATATGAAGCTTTCTTGCAAGATTTTGAGCTGAGATGCTACGCACATTATGGCGTCCTTACCGGGAGGTTCGGGTCACCCACCCCTGTTGATCCTAAATCAATAAAATGATGCTTTCATTGAATGTCCTCTTCAATAAGTTTTATTTTTGTCGCGCAAGGTCGAAAAATTAACTTCAAATTTCATTCCAACAGAAAAATATTACTGATCTTATTTCATGGTGCATGATTGAGTTTACCAAAATACATATGGGCCCAAGTGACCTCCATGAAGCAAGCTGTTGGCCGCTTATGCGGTTCCTGGGCTCTAAGAGAGATCAAGGTGGATACCAGCTACGAGTATTATTCTCATTGTCGAGAAAAGAATATGAAACATGGCAACGGCCCATACCTCCCGGGCCATGGCCCATACCTCCCGGTGTATTTTGATGGGTCGAAAAGCAAATGATTTATTGAAGGTTATCTCGAGACAAAATAGTTGATCCCAGATGCCTAATATCAGGCGCAAGTTGCAGGCGAAAGGCAATTTCACGTACTTTGAGTGAAAAAGCGAGTCTAGCCACTGCCCACTGGAAGAAAATTGCCTTTTCACAAAACCGGCCCATACCTCCCGGGTCTCCCCTACTTTTTTTTCCAATTGACGCAGTAACAGCATTGGCGTGGTTGTACCACCCTTGCGCATTGTCCATGACTCTGGTAAGCACGATGACTGGCTACCATCTGATGTTGAATATAGGGAGTGACGTGTATAGTCGACTACAGAATGATGTTCCACTCCTCAGAAGCTATCAGTTGACCGGAGCGCTAAGTTGTGTCGTTTATCGCGCAATTAAGCGTGTCGATTGTGAGCATTGGGACAAAGCTATAATTTGTGAACTTAGCCCGTGTGATGCGGCACAGCCTACCACTCCAGGCAAATAATTGCCTGTGAAAAGTTGAACATCATTCTGTAGTCGACTATACTATATCGACATTAGCATCGTCTGGAAGAATAGCTGCTCCTAAGAACGGTTTGGTATTTTGGAAGCCAGGGAACAGGGCATGTTTGGAGCACGTACCCCTGGCCCTTCGTGTCCCTCTAGCAGCGCCTGCGGCCCTCCGAGAGACATAGTTTACAACCGACCTACCAAGTATCGGTTTAATAAGACGGCAATTCAGCCATGTACCCAGACGAACTGATGCACAGTCGATATTATGCTTTTGCAGATAAACTTGTGTTTAGTTTTATTTTGACATTCATCATTGCTCGAGTTTTGCAACAGGTTCACACGAGGTAACCGGAAACACAAGTTTAGGTATAGTTTAGTGCCTGATTCTCTATGAAGAACGGCGTCTCACACTTGTTAACACTGGCATCCAGCTGACTGGCAGGGGTGGGGTCACATTTACATCAAGTAAAGTATTACAAATATGCGCAACTAGTAAATACACACGTGTACTTGTAGTGTTAACATGTGTTGAAAACTCCTGACGCATGCATTCACTGTGCATTCATAGGTACACGAATAAGACCCAGCAGCTGTCTCTGACATACAACTGCTGACGGTTAGTGTCGCGTTGTCACAATAAAACTCCGACATAACTGAGTGTATGTATACTCATATACACTCAATCCGACAATAGTTAAAATCAGTTATTCTTGCGCTCACTCATCCTACGCATCCTGCTTCAACATTCCATTAGACATTAAAGCTGACAGTAATGACATGACATGACGGTCGTAGCGCTCTATTCCGACCAAATATTGACCGTATTTGTTTTGTCACCGCACCCATCTCCCGTCGGACCTCTTGTGACCGTTCATAATACGAATACACCTGACCGGGCCCGACATTGCAGAGTGGTGACGCTCCCATAAACCGGCCTGCCTGGCTGAGGGACTATTATTGATTATAGCAACAGACACCATGAGCGTACCGCTTACCATGGTATCGACATCGACATTCGACATCGACATCGGCATTCCTGTATCGACATTCGACAGCGCTCAGGACCAGTCCCAGTTTTGGCGACTCACCCAAGCTGTGATAGTTTTGGGGTGTAGAAGCTGAGGTTCTAGCTCAGATCGAACTCCCTGGGTTCCTTGCGTTCCAAAAAGCTCAGCCTTCGATCGTGCTCCTGAGCTGTTCAAAATCCAAAGCGTTTCACTTTTCCATCCCATCAAACTCCCTGCCATCATATACTCAAGTTTCGCCTGCTTGCTCCCGCAGAACAGACAGCTTGCCACACCCTCCCTTAGAGCAGCTGCCTCCCTTCTTGATGGAGAGAAGGGAGGCACAGCCAGCCTCCCTCCAAATAGACAGCCTGCCTACCCTCCCTCAGAACAGGCAGCCGATGCCTGCCGCCGGCTGCTCAGGGGGCGCTGTGGCGTCCGCTGCGCCCCGCTGCAGGATGGCCGAGGTCATCTGGGCGGCGTCGCTGAGCAGGCGGGCGCTGTGCTCCTGCGCGCGCGCCCGCAGCGCCGCGATGCTGCTGCTGCGGAAGTCGGGTCCGGCGGGCGGCTCGGACTCGGCGGCGCCCGGCGGCGGCGGCAGGCACAGCTCGGCCGGCGGCCGCTCGTCCCCGCTGCCCGGCAGACTGCCAGTGTCGTCGTCCGCGACGTTTTTCAGCTGCTCGGCGGCCTCCATGGACTTGCGGTGCATGCCTGGGGGTAGTGGCAAAGCTGAGGAGCCTGTGCTTCGGAGGTTGAAGTGTCGTTATCTAGTTACTTACGTGAACCTGGTGGCTATTTCGCTTGAACACTCGACAGTTAGCAATTGATCGGATCATCTCAGGGAGAGACGCTTTAACCCTCGCCGGACCTATTGGTTTTCTACATACGCGCCGGCCGAGGGGGGGGGGCGGGTACGACCCCCCCCCCCCCTCGTCGTTTTGCCCCTGGTGGAGCTAGCGCGTCGCGGAAAAAAACGAGCGTGTGCGCCGTCACGAGACGCAGAGATTGATACCCGATTTTAAGGTCTTAGGTCAACCGGTGACCTCTGAAGTCAGGTCAAGTGCCCCAAGGTACGGTTCCGTTTTTGGTGAATAACTTCACAAAAAACGGCCGCAGAGCGCCGATTTTGGCAGCATCGTGCTCGCCTCGCTCAGGCGCGTCGAATGATATACTTTTTGTCCGGGTCAGGTCAACTTGGGGTGTTGACCTCAGGTCAAGGTCAGGTCAGCACCCCCAGGTCACGAAGTTGGTCGAAAGAGGTCATGTCGCATATCATTCGATTCGGCAGGCCTTCCTAAGTCCATTGGTGGCTTTCCCGACTCGCTAGCTCAATTTGATCAAGAGTTATTGACGAAAAACTAATATGACCTTGATGACGTCATAAATGACGTCACGCAAGGTCAAGATTGCAAAAGTGACGCATCTAACCTTGCAAGGAGTGCATCAAACACTGGCGGTCGCAGCCGCTAGCAAAAGGGGGGGGGCCAAACTCACACTCGCGGGACATAACATTTATCCGTCACCGGAGGGTGATCGGCTCATTTTTTACGCCCGCGAGGCGCCGCGCAGTTGGCCATACTTATGCTTCATTCATCTCGTTCTTGCGTGGAATCTTTAAGCTCAATTTAAGGCAAAATCACCAGTACCTACCATTTCTCGTCCCACGGTGTTTCCACCGGTCGGGCCACTGCACCATGGCGACGGATCGGTGTAGCATATACTGGAAGGTCGGGCACGCGGATTCATGACCTTACCTTACCAGTATAAAACAATTCGGAAAAGTAGGTACAGATACCTACCTCTTGCTTTGAACAAGCATGTGAAACCCAGAGAGCATTTTCAGACTATGACATTTACCCATATACGAGTAGTTGTGTGGCGGCGGGAGAGAGAAGCTAGGTACACCGACCTCTGGTGACCAAAGGTTCCTGGCTTTCAAAATTGGCATCTGAGGGCCGCGCGCGACTCCTGTGGGCTTCGCAACGGCTCTATTGGGGCTCACTCAAATGCCTAGTCCTCATGCTAAGAAGACTGGCCCTGAGCCCTGAGGACTTCATCAGTCTCTGCCAGCCCCAGGACCCACAACGGCTCATGGGGTCCTGACGTCGAAATATGAGGGAATATACGCGGGACCATCAGGACGTAAAGTGATCTCGATCAGGACCAACGTAAGGCTGTGCAGGAGTCTGCGTGAGCCCTCTGAGCTTCAGAAGCCCATGCATATGTATGTTTTCACTTAGAGGCCAGTTTAAGGCCCTCAGAGACCAGTACAGGGCCTGCAAACTGCAAAGGCCAGTAGTTTGAGACCATCAGATACCGAGTTGGGCTCTCAGAGGCTAATGTGGGTCCTTACTCATTACAGGCCAACATGGGGCCCTCAGAGGTCAGCGTGGGGCTCTAAAAGACCGGCATGAGCCGTCGTTGGACCCCAGAGGCTAGCAGAGGGCCCTCAAAGGCCAAGATGGGCCTTCCTCAGAGGCCAATGCAGGCCCTTAGAGGCCGGCATCAGGTCTTTTGCTAAGGTTTGCTACTTTAGCCTAAGAAGTGTTTTCTTTTATTCTGTGTATTGTGTGCATCATGTACCCCGTGCCGGCGCTGGGCTCGCCAGCCGGCCGCCGAGCAGAGCCGCCGCGCCGCTCTGCGGCACAGCCTGCGTTCAGGGGCACGCGTGCCTCGGGATTGGCCGGTTGAATCACGTGGTTCGAGCTGTAGTCGAGTTAGGTCGCGGCGGTGCGCGGGGAGTTGGGCTCCAGCATTGGACGCGGCCGGGTGCGTCGCTGGATCGCAGTGGAAGGATCGGTCTGCCCGGCCGTTTCAGAAACTCAGATCCACAGATTCATGTATAAACGGGTGTCTGAAAATCGGTAGTCGGTCTGCCTGGCTGTCTACCGGGGTAAGGAGGCTCGTTTATACGTGCGTCTGCAAAATTAAGGGATCGGTTTGATCTGCCGGTCTCTGTGACAGATTTGGACCCAACGCACCAACTTAACCTTTTCACTTTGTACCCGACATCATGTCGGCTTGAAGGGCGGTATTTTGGGCGTAGTCCTCGAGCATATCTTCTCGGGATTCATTTGTCATATAGGTTAAGGGTAGAGCCGGCACTGCGGCCGTTGCTCCGCTGGCGATTGGTGGCTCTAGAGTCTCTGACAGTGGGCGTTGTTTTCTGGTGAGTGATCTGGTTTGTCTGGTTTTCTGGTTGCTAAAATACATCCTCCTGGTGTATCTATACACTCTTTAACTTGGAATTGTAACATAGTCCTCCTGGGGCCGGATGGTCGGTTCGATCGGCTGTGCTGTTATCAGTCGGTTGGATCGACGTTTCGGTCTGATTCTTTGAAACGGTTCATTCGGCTGTGTTGTCATCAGTCGGCTGAATTGGTTTGCCGGTCTAGTTTTGTTTGACACGGTCCGGTCGGCTGTGTTGTTATCAGTCGGTTGGATTGGTTTGTAGTCTAAGTTGTTTGATACAGTCCACTTTAAATACTTGGCATACAATTTGGCCTAGCTTTGAACCATGGAGGATTTGTTGGCGACCAGAACCAGACTCCACTCAAAGGCGACCCGACTTTGTAATGACCTCCGATCGTATCGAGAGGCAGATCGTACGACGGTGGATCCTGACCAGCTTGCCCTCAAGCTTCACCACCTGGAGAAGCTGCGCCATGAGATGGAGGGTGTCCAGGGTGACCTGGATAAGCTGGATCAGTCAGATGATACCAACCACTTACAGATTCTTGAGGACGAGATGTTTCTCGGTTCGCGCCTCCTTTCTCGCCTTGAGAAAGCTGAACAAGCGCCAGTCAGGGTTGACGCTTCAAACTTCGCGGGAAACGCAGACTTCAAAACGTCCCTCACCGTGAAAATTCCCATTTTTCATGGTGACGTAATGCAGTGGTCTGAATTCTGGGACTTGTTTGCCATATCTGTTCACAACAACTCAGGATACGCTCTTGTCCAGAAATTCGTGGTACTGAAATCGCACCTGGCAGGTGATGCTTTGCGCTGCATTGAGGGCATTCCAGTGTCGAGTGACGGCTACCTTCAGGCCGTGGCCGCGCTCAAGGAGCGGTTTGAACGGGATGATGTGCGGCGGGAGACACTGATGCGTGACCTCCTGAACCTGCAACCCGTTCGACACGGCGACCTTAAAGGCATGCGGTCATTGATCGATCACTTGTCTGCGCGTACTCGAGCGCTCAGTACACTTGGCGTCCACCCGGAAAGCTTTTCGAGCCTGTTGCTGCCAGTCGTTAAGGATAAGATCCCTGAGGATTGGCGTCTAGAGTGGGTCAGGAGAGAGAGTGGAGACTTTACGGAATTTCTTCACTTCCTCAACCGTGAAATACGGCTCCGAGAATCGGCAAAAGGGGTGTCAATGGTGCAGACACGACCCGTGTCCCCGTCCGCTTCCACTCAGTCTGTCACAAGCATTCTCACTGCGCGGCGAGAGCCCGGCTCTGAGAAGCAGAGGCCCCCTCACGGGCCAAGGACCGTGATGTGTCCTGTTTGTCAGCAGGCGCAGCACGGTCTAGAGAGGTGTGACAAGTTTCAAACCTTCAATCTGAAAGCCCGTTGGGAGACTGTGAAGGCAGTGAGGGCGTGTTTTCGGTGTCTGAAGTATGGACATCAGATTCGGGACTGCAAGTGCAGTCGGTGCACGGAGTGTGGCGGGCCGCACCACCCCCTGCTCCACAATCATCGTCCCTCGCCATCGAATTCACCCAGCAACCAGTCGGAACTGTCGCCCGGGGCTGTACCTTTCTCTCCAGCACATCCTACTGACAGAGTGGCGCGCCCTGATGGCAGCCCAAGTGAACTCACGGGGCAGAGTCGCCACCGGTACAGTGCCAGTACGGCAAATGAGAAAGCACATTTCTTCCAGACGGCTCTCGTAAACGCTGTGGGACCCAAGGGTAGCCGGAAGGTCCGTATCCTCCTAGACGGAGGGTCCGACTCCTCCTACATCAGGAGCTCGCTGGCAGAGGAACTCGGTCTTCCCAGCACTGGCACGGCTACCTTTGCCTGCCTCGGATTTCAGGAGAAGGCTGAGGAGGCTCGCTCGTACGACAAGGTACAGGTGGAGCTCAGAAGCCTGTTTGGTGACTATTCTCTGAAACTTGACATGTGGAGCACAGATCAGCTGTGCTCGCCCCTTCCCACCTCTTCGCCACCCCCTGTTCCTGCCGGTCTGGATCTGGCCGACGACTTTGGTGGTGGCGAAGTTCATGCATTGATCGGCCTCGACAATCTTTATCGAATCGTGCTGTGGGGACAGGTGGAACTTGAAGAAGGGCTTAGAGCCATAGAGACTGTCTTTGGCTACGCCATTCACGGGTACCGCGGCGACGTTTCGCTGATACCGACCGGTCACCAGTCTTCCCACTGTCAGCTGAGACAGGTGAGGAGTCTGGATGAAGTGAGGGTCGGCCAAAATGAGGCCATGGATGTGGATGGCATGCTGCCTGAGCCACACTGGGACAAGCCTGTGGGCTGTTCCAATGAGATGAATTTGACGATGCAGTCGGATGAGCTTCCACCATCCGATCATGGTTCCGCAAAGGCGGGAACCCCGCAGCAAGAGCTGCTCAATGCAAAAAAGCCTCACCTGAGCGGTGACGACCTGCATAAAACGATGGCTACCGAGGATGGAGAGACGACTCTCTCTATCAATGGGTCAAATGATGACACAACACAAAATGGCGATGGCGGAGCCGGGCTGTCGCCTGGTAAACGCGACTCCTGGGCTGTCGCCCGGAGTCAGGGTCTGAAGCCCTCCTCGCATGTTCCTGTGGAGTTCGTCCCATCATCTGCCGTGGACGAGACAGACCGGAGCCAATGGAGTGCTGTAGCACCCCGGCAGTCTCGACGATGCCTGTCGGCTCCGACGCGAGACCGTCGGCAGCCGCCTCCGAAGAGCCGACGTCTACGGAGCCGCTGGAGGAACGACGGGGCAAGATGGAGGTGGAGCCGGAGCTGGAGGACGGCTGCCACACTGGGGGCACCGTCTCTTTTCACAGCATTCCCACGTCTGTGGAAGAGGAGAAAGAAGAGGACGTAGCCGAGGACGCTGGCCCCCCGGTCCAAGGACCCATGGCCGGCTGCGGAAGGCCTGACCAGGCCCACAAGGACTGCCGCAAGTTGGCGTGCGGCCAGTGCCGTGATGTGTGTTTTGTTTGTGATTTGTGCGCGCGTTGTGACTAGTGTGGAAAATGTGTTAACTTTTTGTTCCCACATTTTGGTGGGGAGGATGTTAAGGTTTGCTACTTTAGCCTAAGAAGTGTTTTCTTTTATTCTGTGTATTTTCTCACAGTCAATGACAATCCAAAAACAATGTAATTGTCATTGACTGTGAGAAAAACGAAATGTCTGACTCTTCTATTCTGTGTATTGTGTGCATCATGTACCCCGTGCCGGCGCTGGGCTCGCCAGCCGGCCGCCGAGCAGAGCCGCCGCGCCGCTCTGCGGCACAGCCTGCGTTCAGGGGCACGCGTGCCTCGGGATTGGCCGGTTGAATCACGTGGTTCGAGCTGTAGTCGAGTTAGGTCGCGGCGGTGCGCGGGGAGTTGGGCTCCAGCATTGGACGCGGCCGGGTGCGTCGCTGGATCGCAGTGGAAGGATCGGTCTGCCCGGCCGTTTCAGAAACTCAGATCCACAGATTCATGTATAAACGGGTGTCTGAAAATCGGTAGTCGGTCTGCCTGGCTGTCTACCGGGGTAAGGAGGCTCGTTTGTACGTGCGTCTGCAAAATTAAGGGATCGGTTTGATCTGCCGGTCTCTGTGACAGATTTGGACCCAACGCACCAACTTAACCATTTCACTTTGTACCCGACATCATGTCGGCTTGAAGGGCGGCAATTTTGGGGTAGTCCTCGAGCATATCTTCTCGGGATTCATTTGTCATATAGGTTAAGGGTAGAGCCGGCACTGCGGCCGTTGCTCCGCTGGCGATTGGTGGCTCTAGAGTCTCTGACAGTGGGCGTTGTTTTCTGGTGAGTGATCTGGTTTGTCTGGTTTTCTGGTTGCTAAAATACATCCTCCTGGTGTATCTATACACTCTTTAACCCGCGCGGGGCTGGGGGGGGGGTAAATTTTACCCCCCCCCCCTCGCGAATATTTGCAATATCTCAAAAACGGCGGCGCGCAGCGCCGCCAAACTTTCAGTACCTTTTCTTACATCAATTTGACACGTTCCCTGAAAATTTGAGCGAAATCCGTCGGAAAATTTTTGAGAAATTGACGTTTTAGTGACGTCATGTTCGCCATTTTCGCCTCAAAAACGGCAAAAGTTCAAACGCCGCTAACATCTTCATTTTTAAAGGAATCAAGACGTAACAAAAAAGGATATACGTAATTCTACTGTGTCTATCAAATGGCTATCTCGGTTTTTTGAAAATTTTGAATTTTGGCCCAAATTTTTTCAAAAAACTGACTTTTTTGGGAAAATAACTATAAAATTCAAAATTTTGGGTCTATCGAAAAAACCGGAATATATGTCAGAGAAGTGGTCTATGTGCACCTACATACCAAGTTTTAGAAGAATCGGTTCAAAAATGTGGGAGTTATTCAAAATTGTATGACGTCACGACACACAAAAATTTTGAAAAATGACTTTTTTGGAAGTTATAGACCTCGTACGGAAACAAAAATAGCACCATTCGATTCGCCGTGAAAAACTGCATCAGATAGCCACCTTTTTAGGCCTTAACAACCAACTTCAAAATTTGACCTCACTTGACCTGACCTTGACCTGACCTCGACCTGAAATTCATCCAGAGGTGGTCCATATCACTTATTGAGTGTGCCTATTGAATTCTATGAGTAAAATGACCTATAAAACATGTGTCGCACATGCCCTTTTCTATATTTTGTTTTTGGTGACCTGACCTGACCTGACCTGACCTTGACCTTGACTTCTGAATGATATTGTATGCAACGAATATTGTCTTGGTAGCCTAAGAACACGTTTTGGGCGATCAGTCTCAGTCCATGACTCCATTCTTCGGCAACTACGGTGCAAGGCCGATACTGTAGGAACTTGCAATTTGTACCCTTGACCTGACCTTGACCTTGACCTCAAACTTAAAATTAAGTACATGTTTTTAGTTGTTCGTGATGAGATCTTTCGATTGGCGTTTGAATTTTCCAAATCAGACCATTAGTTCGGGAGATAACAGGGGGGGTAAAATTTACCCCCCCCCCCCAGCCCCGCGCGTTCGGCTGGAGACCCCAGCCCCGCGCGGGTTAACTTGGAATTGTAACAGCCAGTGCGGGGCCTCATTGGCACCTAAAGGTTCGTCTTGGGACGCCAGAGACAGAAATAAGGCCACCAGAGACCGGTGTGAGACGCTCAGACGCCGGTTGGGGCCCCTGAGGACGGTTAGGGGCCATCATAGGCCAGATGTGGGGCTTCAGAGGTCGATGTGGGCTCTAAGCGGCCAACATGGGCGCTTGACCGCCACTGAAGTTCCCTCAGAGGTCAGTGTAGGACACTCAAAGACCGGCGTGGGAGCTATATTGATAGCTGGGAGTGTTTTTTTTTAGGCCTCGTGACGATCGAATAAGGGCCAGGGCCCCATACACCTATGGGGGCCCATCGGTTGTTTGAGGGGGGCAAATGATATGATAGCCCCCTTTATTGGCCTTTGGGGGGCATGGCCCTGATGTCCCCCCCCCCCCCCGAGACCGCCACTGTGTACACATTACACACAGGCCTCTGAGATTGCATACCTACTAGCTCATGCAAACTCTATGCACTATGCAGGCCCCGGAGGTCCCACGCTAATCCTTAAGAAACCAAGCCAGCATACGGCGTCACCACCGGGCTTCTGAGGTGCACAGCATCAACCCATGAGGTCTTACTTTAGCATGTCGAAGAGCCACGCTCATTTGGCAGGGCCCACCCGGCACTGCCGAAGAGGGTCTCATGCCAGCCATTGCTGGGCCTACGAGAGCCTCAAGTAAACCCACGCTGATCCATATAAGATCCGGCCATACTCGTGAATCGGTGTCAGCGACGCTGACCGCCAAATTGACAGAATGCGAAACTGAGCCCACTCCATGAGTGAAATTTACGTCCTTTGATGGCGCAAGAAAGAAAATGAAACATACAAAAAACTTTCTAGGGCTTTTGTTCGATCTGAAAGGTGGGGCCAAAAGATAGTATGGCCCCATCTTTCAGCACCAAAGGGGGGCCATGGCCCCCGTGGCCCCCCCCCCTGGGACCGCCAGTGGCATCAAATCACGATTCTGTGTGCTTGAGCTAGTTGGAGATCGTTCCCGGCGCCAGAATAGCAGTTTTCATTTTTCCCCATTGACTTATAATGGTGAGGTCACGAAAATGACCTGACCTCATATGACCTTTAGGAAAAATCCGAGATATAAAAGTTGTGGGACTCATAATGGATACTAGATCCTGCAAGTTTCATTTCCCTGTGACATCTCCTCTGGCAGTGAGGGCGTTGCAAAGTTGCGACATCTGAAGACCGTGCAGAGGTTCACTTATGACGTCATAGGTCAGTGACCTGACCTGACCCAAAAATGCGGTTGGTGTCAAAAGATCCGGCTTGGATCAAAGGTCAAGTATGCCAAGTTTCAGCTCTCTATCTCCAGCGTGTTCGGAGCTATCGCGAAAAACCCTATGGGGGGGGGGCGGCACCCGCCCCCCCCCCCCTCGGCCGGCGAGGGTTAAGACTCTGGTCACCAGTTTATAGGTGGCGGCTTCATAAGAAAATTTCAATTACTGACACCTGAATGTGTGCACATGAAAACGGGCATAGTGGGTCGCTCCGCCCAACCCCGATTTTTTCCCTCCCCGTCGCCCGGCGTACCGAGGAGCCAGGGCGCCGGGCAGTCCTTGTCCTCGCTGACCGACTTGGTGATGGTCTCCGGCAGCGGCAGCGAGTGGCGCACCATAGCGCCGTACAGGCCGTACTCGGCCATTATGGTGGAGCGGCCCCACGTCTTCTCCGTCTTCCGCCACTTGGCGCGCCGGTTCTGGAACCACACCTGAGGACAGAGGGGTAGGGGAGGGCGTGAGCGGCTGATTGTGCGCGAAAATACTTTGAAGAAGAGCACGTAAAAGATATGTATGTGCATGTGCAGGGTAGTTTATGACACTGCCTGTGCTCTGCGCCTTCCTGCTTGTATTTTGACACTGTCGTCAAATTCACTCTCCCTAATGAGAAACAAACAGAACAAGGGCGTCGCCGCTGCCGCCGCTCGCAAAGCCCGGGTGTCCCGTGCGGCGTCACGTCTCCATATCTGTGCGGACCGCCCGTGTCGCCGGGACGTGCCGCGTGACACGTGCGGCCACGGCGGCACGTGGCGCCGATAATGGCGTCCCACGGCGGCCAACACGTCGCGCGTCTCCGAGCGGCTGAAAACAGGGTCTCGTTAGGGGCACTAACGACTCACTGATCCTGTGTCCCGGCGCGCCGGCAGGCGGCCCGGGCCAATATGTGGCCTCGTTACCGGTAATCAGTGTATCGCGCGTGATCCGTCGGAAGACGCGCCGAGAGGAGGTGCGGAGTGACGGGACATTCAGTGGCGCGCTCGGCGCTAACTTTGTTAGTGAGAACAATGGGTGATTAATGATTATACTATCACTTAACACGGGTCACCCATGCCACCACTACGCCGGTTTTAATGAGATATTTATTAAGTAAGATTCGCACCGCGCATTGCGCAACACATTGACATGTGCTTTATAATTTATTTTGTGCGTGTTTTATTTATTGGCTTTGATGAGCAGCTTGCTTATTCATCTGTCGCAAGTGCAGACACAAATATAATCTGTAATACCTATCTAACTTACACACGTAGTAAAGTTTGCCCACCATATACCGCGTGAGCAGGATGACAACAGTCAGCTGAAAAACGTAATGCGTCTTCCCTTCTAAAACTACCACTCCTTTCCGTGTAGGTACCCTGCTAACCAGGGGCGGATCCAGGAAAACTCCAAGGGGAGGGTCATGAATCGAAGTGGTGCCCCTACCTATACCCAAAATTAAAAACTCAACGGATTTCGTTCACTTCATTTTGGTGGGGCCCCCATTTTCAGTTTTTTTTTTCTTTTTCTTTTTTTTTTTTAGTCAGTATCTTAACTCTTAGCCACAACCACATTTACCAATTGTAAGCAAGTATATATGAATGTGCTATGTGTATATATGTTGTGGACGCTGAGTAGTAAGTACTTACCAGGAACGTTATCAGGTAAGCAAATCGAATTGTCAGTCCGACGAACTTGAACCTGGCGTCTAAAGGGTCTGTCCTTGACACTTCAGGCTTGTCAGGGGCACCAAAGTCCTTCCAGGGACACCACAAACCTGTCAGGGGCACCTACGGCCTTGTAGGGGCGCCACAGGCCCGCCAGGGGCACCACAGGCCTGCCAGGAAGCAGGAGCACCACAGGTCTAGCAAGTATACACGACAGGCCTGTCAGGGGCACAACGGGCCTGTTGGGCCCATGAGCCCAACTAGGCTCATGTTGGGCTCATGTGCCCCTGCCCAACTAGGGGCAGGGGCACCACAGTCCTTCCAGGGGCACCGCAGGTCTGTGAGGGGCACCAGCGGCCTAGCAGGGGCACCAGTCAACACAGGCCTGCCAGGGGCACCACAGACCTGCCAGGGGCACCAGAGGCCTGCCAGGAGCACCACCGACCTCGCAGGGGTAACTTGGGCCTGTCAGGGCCCAGGGGCACCACGGGCCTGTCGAGAGGCACTTCAGGCTTTTCAGGGGCACCATAGTCCTCTCCGGGCGCAGGGGTACCAGGGGCACCAGAGGCCTGCCAGGGGCACTACAGGCCTAGCAAGTGCACCACTGGTCTATCAGGGGCACCACGAGCCTGTCATAGCCAGGCATCTCAGGCTTGTCAAGGCCCAGGGGCACCACAGGTCTGTGAGGGGCACCAGCGACCTAGCAGGGGCACCAGTCAACACAGGTCTGCCAGGGGCGCCACAGACCTGCCAGGGGCACCACAGACCTGCCAGGGGCACCAGAGGTCTGCCAGGGGCACCACCGGCCTCGCAGGGGCACCTTGGGCCTGCCGAGGGGCACTTCAGACTTTTCAGGGGCACCAGTCCTCTCCGGGCGCAGGGGTACCAGCGGCCTAGCAAGGGCACCAGAGGTCTGCCAGGGGCATCAGCGGCCTAGCAAGGGCACCAGAGGCCTGCCAAGGGCACCACAGGCCTAACAAGGGCACCACGGGCCTGTCACGGGCACCTCAGGCTTGTCAGGGCCAGGGACACCACAGTCCTTCCAAGGGCACCGCAAGCCTGTCAGGGGCACCTCAGGCTTGTCAGGGCCCAGGGGCACCACAGTCCTTCCAGGGGCATTACAAGCCTGTCAGGGGCACCAGAGACCTAGCAAGGGCACCACAGGCCTGCCATGGACACCACAGGCCTGCCAGGGGCACCACCGGCCTTGCAGGGGCGCCTCAGGCCTGTCAGGGGCACCACGTGCCTACCGGGGACACTTCAGGCTTGTCAGGGGCGTTACAGTCCTGTCAGGGCCCAGGGGCACCAGGCCCGTGGTGTCCCTGCTAGGCCTGTGGTCCCCCTGGCGGTCCTGTGGTGCCCCTGTCAGGACTGTGATACCCCTGATAGGCCGGTGGTGCCCCTGGCAGGTCTTTGGGCCCCCGGGCCTCAAGGGGGGGGGGGCCATGACCCATGTGACCCCCCCTTGGATCCGCCCCTGCTGCTAACCCCTTCGCCTCCCCTTCCCAACGGTTAGATAGAACAGGCCTCCATCGAACACTGACTATTATTGGTGGCAATTCCCTAACTGGCTCCACTCTGAGGAACGCGCCAATGGATTGACTGGCGGCCGGACCCGGCCCGCGTCCCTCTCGTTCTGAGGACGGGGCGGGGATGATCCGATTACTATTGAGACGTTCCGGCCCGGCGGACCGGCGTTCTCACCACCACACGGCGGACAGCTGGACCGCCGACATACTTGTCATGTGTCAGTCTCGGGGGCAGGTGACTGTGCTGCAGAACAGCCTGTTAGCTGGAGACATTGTGATCTGGAGAAAATAGTTATGGATGATTGTGATACGATCTTGAGCCAATGCACTCTAAAAGAGGTTCTTATCGGTCAAAATACATAGGGTAGCATCTCTTCGCAGGCGATTTTCTACTTTTCAATGATGTTCCATTCTAATCTAAGCAATACCTATTCAAGCGAAAGAACACCAAAACTTATGATACTTCTGTCAGACTGGTGACGCATTCAACGACCAATCTTCCTGAACCAGTACCTAACTGTGCCCATGAATCATATGTCAGTCGGGGCGCAATAAAATACCAATATATGCCTCAATATCTTATATCAGCATGACCCTCGATCCTCTTGATCCATTCGGAGCCTGGCATGCCTTGCGTACTCTCCATTTCCCGCACATCGTTGGCGCTTTACAACGTTTCCAGTCACCAGCCCCTAGCCCCTGGCGCCGAAGCGGTTTTAGCACGAGGGCCCGGCGCGGCGGCCTGGAAACCCCACAGTGTAACGGCGGCTAATTGTTATTGGATTGCCTTGTGGACTGTCCCCGGGGGCGAGGGGCAGAGATCGGCCCCCTCTCAGTGCTGACTGCTGACGCCGGGAATCGCTATCACTGGGGGACGACAGCCGCTCTGAAGTGCGAACAGACATGTTCAGTTGTAGACAGGGGAGAAACACCGTTTTGGTTAGACATGTGTTTGTCGGAACACAACACTGAACATAATCCGAAACAGCGCATTTTCTCCGTGGCTCGGTGCTTTTGCCAGGCACAATTTTTCCGGAAAGTTGTATCGCTATACGGTTAACGGATGCCGATAGGTATAATTACATATATAAGCCTATTTATCACACTAAGACGGTCTTTACCTAAACGTTCGTTACTTAGGCACATTTGTTAGGCTATTTATCTAGAAGGTAATTAAGTTTTCCCTTTTACCAACTATCCATTTGCCTAGTACCTTGCATCTATAGAGTTGGGACTCGTCCAGTCAGCAAATGATACCTATGATGACAGTCGGAAGGGACAGTGCATTCAGATTATTCGACAGACAAACCACAATCACTCGGGTCAGACCACGATAAATCACCGCACTGGTATAGTGATTGGCAGGACCATTGGCTTCCTCCCGGTCTAGGGGCCCTGTGTAACCGGCGATGGGCGTGAAACGTGATTAGTGGTTTGTCACGGCTCGTTACGGGCGGGCTACGTAGGTGGGCGTATTTGGTAAACGGTGGATGAGATGTCGGGAGGATGGATGTACCGAGCCGAGTGAGCGCGACGGGACTCGGCTTTATCGGGGATCCTCCCTCTGTCTAAGTCTGATTGATGCTTAAAAGGTACGCCCTCAGGGCTCATGAGCTAGATGTTCGGTGCCCATTCATCCATGCATTCATTCATTCAATCTATAACTCACGTTTGATGCACAGCTTTGAAGAGGCCTCTGGCTAATTGAACCAAACAAAGCACCTGGGTGGGGGACAGTGTGGAAAATCGTGGAAGAAAGAGCTGGAAAAGTTATTTTGGTGAAGACTTTAACACGATTTTCCACTTTAGAAGCATATCATGATACCGTTCACACCTGGGTAGACGCTAAAGGGCACTAAGTGTGGGCCCAAAGGGCTGCCGCGTCAGTTAAGGCGTATGCCACTTATCTTGCAATGTCATTGCAATGCCCATTATGTAGGAGTTTCTTTCGTTAATTCAGGCCACAATATGGTCCGTTTTGAAAATCGTCCGATCGATGCAACAGATGAATGGCCTGGTCAGCGTCAGTGCCCACTCCCATCATGTGCATATGCATGCATGCATGCATGCATGCCGGAGGTATGCACACAGGAGCGCTGCCAGTTTCGCGTGCTGTCCCTGTTTGCACGGTAAATAGCCGCCGGGGAGGGCCGGGCCACTTCATTAGGCTGAGCACTTTGACGTGAGGCAGAGGGGGAGGGAAGGGTAGAGGGCCGGTTTACGGTACCGCTGTGGCTGGGTCCCACCTGACCTGACTGTAAG